CGAAAAGCCGATACCAATCCGATGAAAAAGAACCCGATTTTTTTTCTATTAATGTTGACCGGCCCTGCGCGGAGAAACGGTCTTTTTGGCGCGGGCTCCTCCGCACGCCAGGAAAATAAAATGCAGGCGAGTCAAAACGTACGACTACATTCGTTTGCACGCGGCCGCCCCCCTGCGGTCGCGCTCGCATCCACCGCCCCCATCCGTCCGCGCACCCACTCTCGGCCCTGCCCTCGGCCCTGCCCTCGGCCCTGCCCTCGGCCCTGCCCTCGGCCCTGCCCTCGGCCCTGCTATGCTTTCCCTGTCTCCCTCGTTCCCAGCCCCCGTTTCGACCACCCCTTTTTGTCCCAGCGCCTCGTCCCCGCTGTCACTGCAACTCCTCCCTCACCCCGCCTTGCCCCATCACAGCCCACCGCGTGGCCGGCCGGTGCGTGGCAGGGGCTGCGCGAGTGCGCGGCGGCGGCCTCCTCGGGAAGTGAAATGTCAAAATGTGGCATTTTCGCATTGCCATTCGGTTTCTTTCGCGCTCTAGTTGGAACGCGATGGGAATTGGAATCCTATAAGTGCAAACGTAATAACGTCTCTGTAAGGCACCCACGTGGAAAATTAAACTACTGACATCGCAAAGCGGTGTTTTGAACTGTTGTTTTTGTTTACCGTGTGAAGTCAATGCTGCATTAAATTGCGAGGAGAGGCACATTAGCTTCAGTTTGTTTCCGTGCAGCTCTCCCTCGCCAGTGATGGTGATAAACTACCGCATGTGTGCTGTGATAATCTTCTTTGATTTAAGATGTGACTTGTTCTTCTCAATTTCACACTAATTATCCCACGATCATTTTTGAAAGCAATCAAAACACATTATTCTTATACTATGACAATAAAATGGATTCGAAGAAACAATTTTCTTTGTAATTTTAGCAATCCACGCTAATTATTTTCAAGAAAATTACATGACACTTTTCATCCGTATTGGTAGAATAATTCAATTATTTTAACTGCAAGAATGTATACTTATTTTCGTTAAGAAGCAGAAAACTTGTTTATGAGGTATGGGGGAAAAGTATAATCTGCACACATATGATATATGATCATATATGATCTGATGATCTTTTTCAAGTATCTTAAACAATTATGATTTTTTTAATCACTTGTCCTTCAATCCAGAAGATTTACTTTCCAAGACGGGAATGATACGTTTTTCCCTGACCATATGAAACATAATTATAGTATCTAGAAATTTCTATAATGTGCACTAAAAGTTGGTCCCAAAAATA